GTGTGTGTGTGTGTGTCAGGCAGTCACACATGACATGATCAGGATCAGATCATGTCAACACAATAACAACATTGAGGGGAAGAAGCAGAAAATTCAGAAGATGCTAGCAACCAGTGAAGGTTTTCAGAGTAAATATCAACAGTGACGTGCACTAACTCAAGCTCCAAAAACAGACCATTTTGTCTGCAGGTAACAACACAAGTCATTGTGAAGTGAAAGATTAGAAGCTTTCAAATCTTTCCCTGTATTACATGGGTGTCATGCAGCATTTCATGAGACCAAGTCCTTAATTAACTCAGAAATGAAGTGTGCATGGGTTTGGGCTTAAAACAGAGCTCTCAAGAATTAATATTTCACAAATTTGAAATATACAAAGTGTACTTGATTTAGCAAGAACAACAGAGCCATATGGGATCATCCCAGGAATTTGTGGCTCCGAAAGCCAAGCAAATCAAGCACTCAGCAGCACAAATATTCAAAGTGTGTTATTTAGCCTGTTAGCTTGAGCATCTTCTGAGGAGTGGGGCCAAGGCTGGGGACAGGAACAATGTAGCTGTGGACTGGTTTGTGAAGAAATCAGTGTTAAATACAATATGTAGTGTATTTCATCTCAGTCGTGGGAAAAACACTGCAGGAGTGAGTGCGTTCTCAGAGAGAAGAGACATTCAAACAAAACCTGCAGAAAACTCCAAGACATGTTGGATGTGTACTGTACTTCATTTCTAATCAACTTCAGCCTAATGTTGTCAATGTGTGTGTGTGATACCAAATATAGGGTTTAAAATGATTAATGATCATGGTTATTTGAATTGTTTACAAATCTAATGAATGAATTCGGCCAAACAACCATCCATATTGAGGCTATGGCTGAAGCAGCACCACTTCAGGCAACCAGAGAAATAACAACAACATTGATACAACGTCTCTGGAAAAACACTCCTAGTGTAATAAAGATGTATGATAAAAAAAGACCAGCTAATGATGGCAGAAATCCTGCAGGAACAGCAAGTAAAAGGCTAATCACCATGACAGTACAGCAACAGTAATACTGCTGTGTCACATGTTTTGGTTTGAGAGCACAGCCCTTTAACGTTTGGAGCTGAAAGGTCTTGTGATGCTGGTCACTTGCTTGTAGCTCCATCCTCCACTGTTGGGCAATTAAAAAAGATGGGGAAGGAGTATCTCATACATAAAAGTAGTTTTGGTTTTGAAACCAAAAACTGTCTGCAAAGAGAGTTTTGAAATCCAGCAATCTCAGCAGCTGTTGAAATAACGGTTATGTCTGATTAACAGTCCTGTCATCAGGGGGGGATTTCTTACACATTTCTTCATGTCCCTTTAATCTAGACTGAACTAGTGTTGGATACATTTGGGCTGAGAGTGCTAAACCAAGGCCCAGATTGCAGGCTACACTGGATTTGGAAGCCCTACCCTCTGGGGGAACAAACTAATCAGATCCGAGGTCAGTCATGCTGCTGGGATACAGTCTCCCTGACTCAGCAATGTGTGCAACTTTGTTTGGACGACAATGAACAACGCAGAGCAGGGAGTCATTGTGCAGTATGGATTGGGTGGGAAGGCTGTGCAGGGCTGACTGAGATAGTAGTTTCACAACACAGGTTTCATGGTGAGCCAGTGTACACTGCACATGATGATGGGATGGGTCGAGAAGACTATTCTAGGCTACTGGTTGCAGATGGATTAAAGGGAAGTGAGGACCAAAGGTAAACCTTTACATTTCCTTTCCCCCTCAAACACCACCACAGACAATTATACTACAAAGACTGAAAACAAAATAACTATTGTCATATATCAGTATCGGTGAAGCAATGGCCAAGTGAAAAATGACAATGATTCACACATAGACCGGCTGTTAATCCAGATGTCTATTTTTGTTTTGTATTCTCAGACAGATCTCTTTGAAGGGTCAAAGTGGAGATGCACAATAACGCCAGTGTTGAGATGATTCAATTGCCCAGCTAGATTAAATGTTAATTTAATCATTTTCTAGAAACAAATCATTTCAAAATGCTATCTGATACCTTTAGATTTTCACTGCTTGTTCATTAGGCAACATTTAATTCAATAATTCAAAGTAGTGATTAAGTTAAAGGCTGGTTGCACAGCAACCACCGCAGTGAAGACATGGACAAAGCTCATGGACTCATGGCTGTCAGGTTTAGTCTAGGTTTCGGATCACTGCCTGCCATGTGCACAGGTACATAGTTAAACAGTAGTCAGTCAGCAAAACATTTGGTTATAAACAATGCAGTGATGGTCTGCAAACTGCACTAATGTTAAGAATTGACAGCATTGTTTTTTGTCTTCCATTACTAATGATAAGATTGAGAAGCCAAATCCAGAAAACAAACTGGGTTCATCCTCAACTGCTGAAGCAACTCAGTTTATACAGGAATGACTGAGTGACGATGTTGAGGATTCAAAGAGATGCTGCTACTGATGCAGATGATCAAAAACCTGCATGCTGAATAACCAGGTTTCTCTACGTTACATGTAAACACCCTATCCAAGGTTGGATCATAACCAAGATAAGTGTCAAAACCAGGATACTTCATTTGCTACAAAGCACCTTGGTGCCTCCCACCACAGTGACTAAAAGAAACGGGTGAGGCAAAACCACAAAAAAGACATAAGGAGGATGTGGTGACAGTTATGTGTCCCATCTCAAACATCTCCTCTGAACTGTATCATTAACAACTGCTCTTAGACGTCTTATGACCGTAGCAAGGCCCATTCGTGATTTGTCATCTCATCAGCTCTGCAAAGGGAGTCGTACTGTTCACTCAGACAACAGCAGCATGTCAGCTTGATAAATATGCTGTCTGAAAGAGGACAGCAGGCGTCACAGAGATCAGACCCCCGAGTGGCAAAGTCCCTGTGACTCTACACAAACACGCATTCAGTGTATTTACAACAAAGCCATAACAAGCAGGATAATAACTTTAAAGTACACCCTAACCATTCAAAAAGCATTACTGTGGTGTGTCAAAGGCAATCATCAATCATCCCACCCTGAAAGCATTTACAATCCTCTGTTCAGCATTTGTTTGTGTGATGTCCTTGGTACATGGCTGGCATTTAAGATTTAAAACTCAAAGTCTTGTTTTAAGGGACAAAAGGAGTTGTCTTTGAGTTAGGAATATAAGGAGTTAATAATCATAAGGGCTCCTACAGTGTCAGAGCCTTTCATCCAGGCGGCTTCAGCACAGAGCATCGATTCTCCCTAGGTGCTATTTGTTACCGTCTCATCCATGAACTATTTATTTTTAGCTTTATAGCTCCTCTGTTGCTCAGCACAACACCAGCCTATATGACATTCAGGTCTACAGGACATTTACAGCTGCTCAGATACTGTTTTTATAGGAGTTTCTTAACCAGTCTGCAATATAAGGTCACATATTTGGCTTATATGGAAGAAACCTCTGCTTTTTGCCCTACAAACTAGATATTTTAAAGCTTAGCCAGACCAATAACAGCTGCTGACTCCTGTATCATATAGCTGCTCTGGTAGTTCTTGTATCAGGAGCTCAGCCAAATCAATACGGGTAAAAATATCTAGTGTTCAATGAAGTAAACACTGGCAACGCCAGGTGGTGGGCTGAT